AGCCTTTGCGATTTACAGACCGACGTCATGAAGTGGAAGTTTTACTCAGTATAGGGCTTGCACTAAAATCTTGCACAAAGTAGGAACTGATTCTTCAAGAACAAGACCATTGTTACTGTATTTGTTAAACACCAGATTCTTGTACCTTTCCTTTTACTTTCTTTACAGGTTTCAACGCCGACCTTAATCGTTTGGTGGGAACCAGATATGTTGGGGATGTTGTCCCAGTTGACGTCACATCCGCAGCTGAATGCAGCGTCTACTGCAGCTACAACAGTACCTGCGTCGGCTTCAATTACAACTACAACACCGTCGACTGCGAGCTGAGAGTGGGACCTGCCAATGCATCAAGCGCTGATGACTGGTTCTACTTCATCAAGCACCTATGTCGTTGAGAAAAGGACTGGAAAATTCACAATAACATTTCTGAAATGCCACTATCAAACGTGTCACAACGTTGCCATTCTAAGAATGTTTTGAAAATTCCAAGCCTTCCCCTCCCATCAGGACGACAGAGCACGTGTTAGTTCATTGTTACTGATTGTTTAGAAAGGCAAAAAGCACACTCTTTCAGGAATATTCGGGATTTGGCTATTAAACCTTGTTATGTTTATATATACTCAGTACCATAACTTAAGCGCCACCGGATTAAGACAGGAACTTCTTCGATTTTATGAAACTCACACTGATTTCTTGATACCTGTGATGCAGAAAACGGACACATCGTTGAATACGATTTGTTTACTCAACAAAATTCACAACAGCAATTGGATGATATCCTTTTCATGGACTTTGTAACCACAACTGAAAACGATGTCAAACCCTATTCCCATTCATACGCAGGGAACTGTCTAAAAATGAAACTTTAAACTCTTGAGAAGACTTTTAACCATTTTACTGTCAACAGCGTGTGTAGGATCCGTCAGAATTAATGACTACATGAACCCTCCTCGACATGCTACGTATCAGTCTCTGTATGGTCTGCTGGGGAACCTGTTGCCACTCTGGGTGCAATCCTGCTTCCAACTCTGCCACGGGTTGTACCTTTGGCGTATCCGACACGACCTAAAATGCCTCTATTGCGTTCAAATCCGAGCTTCATGCGGGTCATGGTAAGTGTGGTTATTGTTTCTTGCTGAAGGATCTCCGCTACTACTCTCGCTCTATGAGGCCTGGTATTATTATCCATGTAAACGGGTTTAGAGCGAAGGGGATGTTTGTCGATATGTTGAATTACCACAGACTGAAGGATGTTCTTTCGATATTTCTCCCCAGTTAGTGTGCCCGGAAGAGTCACAAGGTCTAATTTACACCCGTAGGCCACATATCCAAATACCATGACAAAACCTTCCCCACCCTGACAGGTCGGTTGGACATGCTTAGGTGCAAGATGGCTGCTACTTTGACATCGTCCACAACATGCAGTAGCATCCTGCACACGTCAGACCAATGGATCATGGCCAGGCCAAGTTTCAGCGCGACCTCTCTCTGCACCACCCCAAACTTTTATGGATGTGTATATGTGTCAATGTCGGACGTGCCCGATATCTAGCCGCATGAAGACGATTCCTGATCGTTGTGGTGGACACTCCCCTGTGGGTATTCCAGTGGTCTCTCAGTACAGGGGAATCGTCTTACTAGTCGAAGCAATGCCCTGTCGTCTCGTACAGATGTCGCTCTTCGTCGTCCTGATCTGACACGGTCTTAAATGACCACGGGGATTTGGAAGTGTTTCTGAACCAAACGTGTAATAACACTGATTATACTCCAACTGTCTGGTAATAGCTCTACAAGATATTCCGCCATCTTGCAATGCAATTATCCGCCATCGCTCACCAGTAGAAAATCTGCGCCTTGCCATAGCAGAATTTCAAGTCAAAATCTAATGGTCCGTTGGAGACATCAGTAGTCAGTGAAGTCACACAAGTTTATGTCTCAAAATGCATGACCCCACATTTACTTCTCGTTGCACGATTCATGCTGGACATTTACGTGCGCTAAACTTCGTTTCAATCAATGTATGGAAACCTGTTTATGCCATCAGAGGTTTCATTTTCAACTTCATATCAATAATGCATGAAAACTACCAAATTCAAGTTAGTGGCGCTAAACTTTTTATTCTAACATTGCTTGGATTAAACATATTTTAATTCAGTCAATATTTAATAGGTATCGGTGAACAAGCTATAAGCTTATGTGAACACCTCTCCCTCTTTTTCAATAATAACATATTGTTTCAATGGGACACCCACTAATCCAACATATCTTACACCAGTCAGTTGTTGTTGTTTTTTTCATTCTTTGTCAAAAATAATAATTCAGGATTTCAGTCTTCCTGAATGTATTGACCGCCTCCGTGGTGTAGTGGTTAGAGCGTCCGCCCGGAGAGCGGAAAGTCGCGGGCTCGATCCACGACCGCGCCATACCAAAAGACGTTAAAATATGGTCCCTGCCTGGCGCTTGGCATTAATGGGTACAACAAGGACTGGTGGGCTCGGAGTCAGAATAATGTGTCTGAGTGGGGTATTCATGCTTTACTGCGGCATGGTGTCTCAGTGGGCTAGCACTATAAAACTAGCTTCAGTCTGGGCTAGTACAAGCAGCTACACATACACACGCATGCACGTCGTCATATGAGCGAAATATTCTCAAGCACGACGTTAAACCCAATTTCACCTCACCTCACCTGAATGTATTATTTCTGGTAAAAACATCCTCATTCACTTTTAATTATACAAGTTATTGATTCTGTCAGTGATGTTTCAAGCAGTCCCCATGTTGAAACTGAAGTCAATACCAAATATTTTGACGTTCTATTGTCTTATTGCTTCGGTCAATAATGTCCTTGTGATCAAACTGATCAAAGCGAATGCAATGTATATCAATCAATAAAAATATCCTCACGTTGCCTGATGTTGAATATAATTCATTCGCTGTGTTAAACATACGCTAACGTTTGAGTGAGTAAGTTCGCGAGCATTTTACGCCAAGTGCGCAGTACTCCTTCCATTTAGAGAGGGCGGTGAGGTAGCCTAGTGGTTAAAGCGTTCGCTCGTCACGCCGAAGATCCGGGTTCGATTCGCCACATGGGTGCAATGTGTGAAGCCCATTTATGGTGTCCCCCGCCATGATATTGCTGGAATATTGCTAAAAGCGGTGTTATACTAAATTCACTCACTCACTCCATTTAGAGACGTGTTTGCCTGTTTCCAGCATATATTTATAAGTCAAGGTACAAGAATAGTGTTTGTAAAATCTGTCAGTAAAATAATGTAAAAACATGATATTCGAGTCTGTATCAGTCAAACGAGTAAAGGATGTTGCAAGCAGCGCTCTACACCAATAGGTGGATGTATGGTAGACAGGACCCATGCCACCAAAATATGTTTTGTTAAGTTAGCGTTTAGTAATGTTTTACAGAGTCCACGATGCTTTTTAGTGTTCCAAAGACGAAATATTACTGCCCCATCGTATCCCTTGGGGTTCATATTGGATTTCAACAAACATCTATAATCGGCATAACTTTGAAACAAGTCATTGCGCATTAACATTTTCGACCATTTGTGTTAACAATTCGAATATGAGGAAGAAACCGTGTCTGTTTTGTACATGTAGAGAAATCGGTTTCATTCTAATTCATGCTATTCACACGAAAAAACGATTCTTTCTAAAATAGGACATATTAAGTCTTAAGGAGAGATAAGCATACGGGTCGCGTTATTTCTTCAGAAGAAAATATTAAATGTGATATAAGTACACAAAAAGGGCCACTCTTCTGGGAAAAAAACAACAATTTTCGAACAGAAGTCATTTGTGCCATGGCAAGTAACACTATGTCATGGGGAAAATATCATCATTCAAGGATAACAACTGGTACAACTTAAGATAAAAACACACGCAGCAAGGGAAGTAAATCTTTAAAAATGGATTTCTGTCACCAATTTCAGAACTGTATACCTTTAGTACAATGTTAAAATTCATCTATTAACAGCTCGTCGCTTTAGATGGGTGAAGGGAGGTAACTCTGATTCAGTTTTCCCGTGTAATTCCAGAGACCGCTTTAAACAGTCGGCGAAGTCAGGCGTGTGTTGTCATTCTCCTATACCCGACCGTTAAGCATCATAACAACAACACTTTTAACAGTTCGACACGCTGTGGGTTGCGCGGCCGGGGTTTATATATACAGTTGCAACATACTTACGGTACATGTATCTGGAGTGAGATAAGATTTTAAGGCACATCGGCAATATTTCAGCCATATCGTGACTATAAACAAGTTTTACATTCACCATAAATACATGTAAATTATTAAAACCTGTCGACGAACAACAGTTAAATCAACTACAACATCACAGTATTAAGAAATAAAACTAGCATCTCTTTCTAAAATTGGATTTCAAATTAGGACCACGCAGTATAAAACTGGGCTCTAGGTCGCCAACAACTAAAGGTAAATCACCATACTAGGGACCACGACATTCATCTGGAGGTATTTGACCACAATCATCCATAGGCGCCCGACTCTGATATATGTATATGTATGATCTATATATATATATGATATAAGAAAGGTGTGTCAGTAAATCGAAACAAAATGGCGGCCCGGCTCGGCTCGGCTGGGTTTCGGTCTGACAAACGCTTCCATCGCTTTGACCGTTGAATAAACTGAACAATTTATACTCAGTTGACCTCTGGAAAGTACCTTGCGTATCACAAACCGGGTGATTTTATTCCCATTTAAAGCTTTCAATAATTTTGTTGTACATACTCGCACGAAGTCAGGACATATGCCCGGAAGTAAACAAATCTCAGGCAACAGACCCGCACCGAATGGTAGAGCGAGTCTCTGATTGGATAATATAGTTGCACGTTAAAAGAGGTGGGAATAATAGAAGACGCTATCGTATCCGAGACTCGCTCTACTTTTGGTGCGGGTCTGTAGCCTGCGATTTGTTTACTTCCGGTGTGACCAGGTCTTCAAAACAATAAAGTCGCTGGTATAGGGGAGGACATTTTATTCTCCGTGAGGTAGTTAAATCCACAAAACATCACCCTGAAACATTTAACAATAATTCAATGGACAGCAAACAATCATTCTATAAGAATATTGTATATCACAAATAGGGTAACATTTCATTGGTTGCATTAATTAAATTAAAATCGTCATGTTACACAAATACACACGCACACCACGTTCCAAACATTCAAAACATTCACACAATGTACTAAGGAAAATACACCTTACCCATCTATGGAATGGAATGGAGTTTACTATTCTACCCGTTTGGCACCTGCAAACAACATTTGCTAAGTTCACAAAATTGCCAAGGCATACAAAAGTGCACACTACAATTACATGTTATGCTAGAAATAATTTGCTAATTATTTATTTGTAATATTTTAAAAGTTTTACTCAAGCATAATATAACTGACAACCTCTAAAGTTAATGTGTTAAACAAAACAAGTATTCAACTAACCTTCTGTGGCAAGTAACAGTGCTGCTGCTGTGCTGTGCAATGCTGGATACTAAGTGCCATGTGCTTGGACACTCAGTGTATTTAATATGCCTAAAAAACTTGTACCCAATCAGAGGCTTAATCTCTGGTCACATTACACACAATATGAAATTGAGGCCAGAATGAACCACCTCACTTCCTTAGTGATGTAAATATTCCACAAAGGGGCATAATTCAGATGCACCTCAACCACATAGAATTTTATGAACAAACCCTCACCAAACCTTTTATCAGTTTTGTAAATCTGATTTTAAACAACCACAATGTTTATTAAATAACCCTTCACCAATAAAAGCTTTAAACATATTTTTGGAGTTTAACAGTTTATACTTTTTATTTGCATAATTTTATAATTACATAAAACACCTTCACCTGAACAATAAAATCTGATATGTCTCAATTGACATCATATCCTGTTACACACTTCCCCCCATTGAAAATTGACATCCTCGTCATTCACTATGTACCCGCAACCAGTGCTATAATGGCTTTCCTCACCTCAACAGGCAAATCATGGAAAGCTCCTGACAACGCCAGAGTGCGAAGAAACTCTGCTTTCTCCAGCCACTCCGGAGATGGCGTAGTGTGAGATAACACAAACTCACCACCCGTCATCCATTGTGGTTTATTTCTGTGACGACCTGAACGTCGAACATCTGTATCCTGTGTACCAGATTCCTCAACCGACTCTTGACCAATACTTACTGTGGAAATTTCTTCATGTAAATCACTGGAGACACTTGATTCTGGTTTTGAATCAGTCTCACATGTTACACCTACATCATCAGCTCCCTCCCCCTGCTAAAACTTCCCAGCTCCCTGGCAGTCGTCACTGTCTTGCTGGGAAGTACTCCTTCTTCAGTATCCTCTTTTGGCATTCGATTCGGTGCCATTCACTGAAAGATCTTCATCCATAGCAGGAGTTTCAGAAACTGACACAATGATTTCAGAATCACTATCATCCTGATTTGGTTCAGGTGATGACTTCATTTCCACCAGTTTAGCTGGAACAAGTCTTTTCCTCGGCTTTGGAATTGGATAATGCTTAGACGTTTTAGGTTTACTGGATATGCTACTAACAGGCAAAAGATGATTTCTGTGCAGTGTTCTAGTTCGTCCAATTCCTGATTCTGGTTTCACCACAAATACTGGAATTTCCGGATTGGGTTGATCTATCACTTCATAAGTTTCATTTTCCCATCGATCAGCTATTTTGTGCTTTCCTTCATGCGCCAAAATGCGAACTAACACTTTGTCACCAATCTCTAAGCTTGATACTCTTGCCTTATAATCATATCCCCTTTTCTGCTTACCTTGAGCCTTTTTCATAGCCGTTGAAGCAAGCTCATATGATTGCTGAAGACGATCTTTCAGATTCCGTGTGTAAGACTGTAGAGATTTCTCACCATTCTCATGATTTACACCGAAAGCGAGATCAATGGGAAGGCGGGGGTGCCGACCAAACATGAGAAAATGCGGTGAATATCCGGTGGTTTCATGTTTTGTGCAATTGTACGCATGGACTAAAGTAGCTACATGGGATTTCCAATCAACTTTCTGATCCGGTTGCAATGTACCTAACATATCAAGTAAAGTCCTGTTGAAACGTTCACACTGACCGTTACCCATAGGGTGATATGGTGTTGTCCTAGACTTTTTTGATTCCGGTTATGGTACATAACTCACCAACGAGGCGACTCTCAAAGTTTGCTCCCTGATCAGAATGTATTCTGGATGGCAACCCGTAATGGACTACAAAGTTGGTGAAGAAAGCTTCTGCTGTAGTACGAGCCGACATATTCTTTGTGGGAATTGCTTGGGAATACTTGGTGAAGTGATCCGTAATAACCAAGATATGCTGATATTGACCTTTAGACGGTTCTAGTGTTAAAAAAATCCATGGCAATCAACTCTAACGGGTACATGGTCTTGATGCTTACAAGTGGAGCTCTTGTATTTGCCTGAGATTTTCTCCGTAAACACCGTTCACAATTTCTAATCCAGTTCTCAGTATCACTCGCCATTCCGGGCCAGTAAAACCTTTCCTAAGCAAAGACAATGTCCTATCTCGACCCATGTGTCCCATATCGTTGTGAAGAGACTCAAAAGCTTTCTGACGAACATGAACTGGAAGAATCAACTGTTCTGTAGTTACATTCTCAAGTGAGATAACTCTATACATGACGCCACGTTTGAGCTTCAAATGATGAAAACTTCTCAGTAAAGTAGTAAAGTCATTGTTGATGAACTGATCTCTCTTGGGTTTGACCCCTGTTCGGACAAAACTAACCATGGCTGCGATAACAGGATCCTTGGCCTGCTCTTCTCTCCAGTCACGAGGAGTCATTGCAGTCAAATCGCTACCTGTATTCAGATCATTCGACACTTCACCGACCGCACTCAAACATTCAATGTAAGTTGATATTGTAGTGGATTGGCAAATTGCTTTCACAGAATCTCTAAGAATCTGCTCCTCGGACCCGTCTGCAGCCTTTAAACCTGGTATCCGTGATAGGCCATCTGCATCCTTGTTGGACTTTCCTGCTCTGTATTTGACATCAAAGTTGTAAGAAGAGAGATTGGCTAACCACCTGTGACCAGTCGCATCTAGTTTTGCAGTTGTCAGAACATACGTCAACGGATTATTATCAGTAAACACAGTGAAATCATGACCATACAGATAATCATGGAATTTTTCTGTTATGGACCATTTCAGAGCTAAAAATTCAGTTTATGGGCAGTGTAATTTCTTTCGGACTTGGTCAAACCTCGACTTGCATATGCAATAACCTTGAGTTTACCATCCTGACTCTGGTAAAGAACAGCTCCTAACCCTGCTTGACTAGCATCTGTATGGAGTTCAAACGGAAGGGAGTAATCACAGAAACCAAGTATTGGTGGAGAGACAATCGATCCTTCAGTGCCACAAATGCGTCTTCTTGTTCTTCACCCCAAACCCAATTTTCAGGTATTCTTGTACTACCCTTCTTACTGTCCAACGGTGATGGCATTAGCTGAGACAGGGGTTTAGTAATCTGTGCAAAGTTCTTTACAAAACGTCTATAGTAACCTGTAAACCCAAGAAATTGCCTAACTTCTGAGGGGTTGGTTGGTCTTGGCCATTTCTGAACTGCTTCTAGTTTTTCAGGATCAGGTTCAATTCCATCTTCTGATATGATATGACCCACATATGACACCTTTCTTTTGAAAAAACTGCATTTCTCTGGAGATAACTTCAAATTGCATTCACGCAGCCTTTCCAACACTTTGCTTAGTCTTGAGAGATGCTCCTCGTAAGTGTCAGCAAATATGATGAGGTCGTCTATGTATACCACACATATGGTCAGATGGAGATCACCAAGGCATTCTTCCATCAATCGTTGAAAGGTAGCTGGACTATTACACAAGCCAAATGGTAACCGGTTATACTCAAAAAACCCTAAAGGCCCAACAGTAAATGCTGTACGCTCTTTATGTTCCTCCAACACTTCCACTTGGTAATAACCTGACTTAAGATCCAACTTTGAGTAGAATTTCTTTCCTGCCAATTGATCAAGAATTTCTTCTATCCTGGGTAAAGCATATGAATCCTTCACCGTCTTGGCATTCAATTCTCTAAAATCTGTACACATCCTCAACTTTCCATTTTGCGACGACAAAGCACAACATTGGACGCCCATGGACTATGTGAGGGTTTGATAACTCCACAGGCAAGTAATTGCTTAAGATGTCCTCTAACCTCTTCAAACATAGACGGGGTATGCGGCGATGGCGTTGTTTGAATGGAATATCATCAGTTAGATCTATTCTATGCTGAACTGCTGAAGAATGTCCTAAATCCAAATCACCTTGTGAAAAGACATCTTTAAATTCAGAAATGACTTCCATACCTCTTGTCAATTCTTCATTAGTCAAGTCACTAGGTTCTATTTCAACCTTTTCTAACAATGAATCAACTCCCAAACTACCATCTACCTTGGGCACATCCTCAATAGTAACAGGCTGTAATTCACAAACAACTGCCCTTGGAGGTATAACAACAGTGCGAGTTGTAACATTGGAAATGTGTACCTGAACTGGACCTGGATTCTGATAACGGTAAATGCTTAATGTGGGCGAGATATCTAAGTCAGTTGGCACAGCTGAATTCTCACATGATTGTGTCATGGCTGTAACTTGAGGATAACACAAACCTTTGTCAACATAACCCTGTATCACTACCTGGGAGTTAGCTGGAATAACAATGTTACGAGACTCAGCATTCTTCACAAGTCCTAAACGGTAACTATGCCTAGCCAATTGCTTCTCAGCCAGAACCATGCTACGGAAGGACAAATACCAAGGTGTATGCAAGTTTGCTTTTTGTAGAAATCTTGGTCCATGCCTATCCCGACAACTTTCCAACAGTGTTGACAACACATTTGTCCCAAACAAAACTGGAACTGAATGATTATATCTACTGGATGGAACTACCAACAACATACATGGTAACTTATCACCTCTTGCCAAACCTTTAGCCTCAAAATCTGCTATGATAAATCCTAAGTATGGAAGTGGATTCCCATCAGCACATTCTATGTCCAGTACTTTGTCAAGTTGATGAATAGGAAGATGTTCTAAGTTCTTTCTATAAAATTCTTCACTAATTGTTGAAACGGTGGATCCAGTGTCTAACAATGCCTTACAAGATAACCCTGCAAGTATGACATCTACTTCATTGGCTTCACCAACTAATCCTTCTGGTTGTGACGACCATGACTTCGAGGGGTTGGTACTGAAGTGGCCCTGCTTCCCCCCCGCCCAGGGCCGCTTCGGTTTAAAGACCGACAGTGATCCAAAATAACCCTACATCCTATTTGCAAATGTCCTGGATATCCACATCTCCAACATACGGGTTCCTTGGTTTGTCCAGATGAACTCTGATATTTGGGACTATCCACCTCAGGGCTCCGCTTATAGGTATTTTTAGATTCTGTTGATGCATTACCACCATGTGGATGGAAGGATTGACTATGCTGAGTAACCTGTTGTTTTAATGATCCTACTTCAGTTGACAAACACTTCACCATGGTCTTAAGTTCATGCATATCTGAAGAATCATTAACCTGTGTTACCTTAACAGGAGTTGGTTTCTTGCTGACATCTGACCTAGCCTTTCTGTGATCCAAGTCAAACTCAATTCTCCGGACAGCAACCCTCAACTCATCAAAATCCTTAATGGAATCGTATTTGTGAGCAGACAAATCCTTCAGTGTAGGTAACAAGCCTTGCCAGAAAACACTTCTAAGGGCATTATTAGTGTCAACAGGTGAAGTTTCAGAATGGCGAGTAGCTTTAGCATAAAGATCTTCCAATCTACATCCCCATGCAGTCACTGTTTCAGTAGTTTCCTGTTTGGCACTGTAGAAACAAGCTATCAGAGACTCGCGTTCCTCGCAAATGCCATATACACTCTGTAGTTTATACAAGATGGATTGAATGTCAGCTTCAGGACCTAACCTCATAGCTACACGACCTGCTTCACCTTTAAGTGAACGTCTGATGGCTTGGAAGATAACATGATGCGGGTAAGCATTTTCCTTCATCAAACAATCTGTTTCATAACGCCAGAGATCATAACTTGCTTCCCCCCTTACCTGGTTCTCCATAGAAAATGGACAGCCTGGGAATCTGACTAACAGTGGTGCTGTGCTTACCTATTGATGGCTGATTCTGGGCATCATCTTCAAGTTTCCCCTCGGGCCACTTGCCCTCAGCCTTTAGACTGTTTTACCATCCATGTGCTTATA